AGTCAAGTCTTCAGGTGTTCATATTTGTAGTCAGGATACCAGTACCTAAGACAACCATCAGGTAGAGTGACATACAGTGTATTACTCTACATTCACATTGTTCATAATAATTATGAGAACGATGATAGCGCTACACGTACATGTACAGTTGATAATGGAATCCTACTAGGACGATGTTACTAACATTATGGGGCGAGCACGGGCAAAGTTTGTTATCATACAAGCTAAAAAATATCTGTGTTGACATTCAAAATCCATATAAATTATTTTACTATTGACAAAATTGAACAAAAATGAACCAAAAATTTGTAAGTGAAAACAACCAAAAATTCATAAGTGAAAACTGAAAAGAATCAAAAATTTATATCTGATAAACAATCGATGACTTCAGAATGAAGGTTCAGTTGTCAACAGCAACAACAATGTTATTGCTATTAACTGTAACTTTGATTGGATCTGTACGCATCAGTAGAGTCTCCTCAATACTCTCTTTAGTCATATTTAGATCAACTAGCTCTTGAAGAGTGTTGTTAAACAACGTGACACTAATGATAGTGTTGCTGTCTTGCTTGATTTGCACTTTTGCGATCCGATATTTCTTATTTAAGGAGAGTCTAGACTTGGATTGGCATTTATCACATTGACCGATCAGAGACGACACTTGTACCATTTTTGTATTACAAATTGGACATAAGTAGTATTCAGTGTAATTTAAAGAAACAATTTCACCTTCAATGATGTTGGGAGAAATCTCATCTACATTTAATAATGTCGGTGCCGTCTGTACTTCACCAATATCACTAATGGCTTCAATAATTGATTCAGGTGTTAAAGAGATGTACTTCTGACGGCTATACTTCTTGACCCTAACATCCATTATACGGTATGAAGAACCCACCTCCAACTTATTCACATTAGCTTCCCATAAAACTATTCTAGTTGCTCCTGTAGCATCATTAACGATACAATCCTGCTTGGTGAGGGTTTTGGTTTTAGCTAAAACCTGCGTAGGTTCTTCCACCTTGGAAACCTTAATAGATATGTTGATGACTTGATTTATGGATATTGTTGCTAGCTGAGAAAGACTGGTGAAGTTGGGAGTCAGGTCAACATCTTCTACTTTAAATTTCTTTTGAGAAGGAGATATGTCGGTATTATTATTGAGCATGATCTCAAGTTCTGCATTATTAAGAGACGACCTTTGAATGGAGCAATTTTGCAGCTCTATAGTTTCGGAGGACTCGTGAAATGTCTTCATTTTATCAAAGAGAGCTGTATTGAACGATACAAATCTTTTAGAAGAGGATTCATGTGATACTGTGCCAAAATAGTACTTTCGTTTGGTTTTACTCAGTTTCATGGGAGACATTTTCGTGACTACACCTTGAATAATAGTACTTTCAGCAGTATCAGTGATGGATGAAATCGGTTTTGCTAGATCAGTAGAGGCTCTTGTTGCTTGACTTGACGAAACTGTGAGTTTCGTAGAGCTGGTTGGTTCATCCCCCTGTTCGTACTGGCTTTCTGCCATATATGAGAGTAAGGAAAACTGAAATAAGAGCCAAACAAAGGTGATAAGTAGATAGATAGACGCGAGAGAAGGAGATCCCATAGGATAAAAGAAGTGAGACTGGCACTATCTGAAGTGACTAAAGAAGTGAGAAGTACTGAGATCACGTGAAGGAAGGCTTCTGTTATGTTGAGCATGCGCAGTTTACGCATGAGGTTTCACGTGTACCTAGTGTCTCACTTTATTCTCACTTCTTTAATCATATGGGATCACCTTCTCTCGCGTTTATCTATCTACTTATCTCCTTTGTTTGGCTCTTATTTCAGTTCTCCTCTTTTTCATCACTCTACAGACTTTCTTTGTTACTGCCCCCAGTTGAAAACCTCTTCAGTTTCTGGTTGATGGCTGAGGGTGATAAGTCTGATTGTAGTTCTGATGAACCTAGCTACGTTAAAGATGCTAAACATTTAAGAAAAGCTCGTAAACAACTGAAAAAGGATATTAAAGAGAAAGAGGAAGAATTGGGACTGTACAAAGAGAAATATGAAGATTCTCTGAAAAAGATTGAATGTCTTGAAGATGAAGTTCAATATCTTAGAAGGAGACTAAATTACTTTGAAGTTCGTGAGAGAAGGAGGGAAAGAAAAGAAAAGAAAAAACAGAAGTTGATAGAGGAAGAAGTGGACATTAAAAGAAGGGTGAGGTTAGAAGAGGAGGAAAGAGCAAGAGTAAAGGAAGAGATAAAACAAAGGAAGAAAAAGGAATGAAACTGATGATGTGTACTTACTGTCTATGATATATGACATGATTTCATCAAAAATTTCAATTTTAAAATTGTTTTTTTTTATTCAATAAAAATGAAGTAG